TTCATTTCCAGGGTCCAAAATAGTTCCTGTCTGGAGTTGGCTGCAGATGGGACAAGATTTGTTCCTCATCTGGCTCAGATATACGATCGGAGCGTGGAAAATCCACAGGCACAAATGATCATCAGTTGGTGGCGAGATCTCAGCTGTGATCCACAAACTGCGTAGCTAGTGATGGCGATATTGACTATTCGTCTCCACTCGTCAACTTGGGGTAAAAATGATTACGGAAGGGTGACAAAGTTTCAATAAAATAGTATGTTAAAAAAAGACAGGTCATGACATCGGAATAAGTCAGGCTTTAAAATCGAACCGGTTCTTCCAAAGAAATTTTGCAGAAAGCAGGCAAAACTGTAGTGGGTGTAGATATATACTTAATCTACTGAGTTATCGATGGTTTATTTAAATGATAATCATTCAACTTAGAGGGTATCATTAAAATTCTAGAACTTAGTTTCAATTTAAAATTATAAGCTATGATTGAGTAAAAATATATTTGCATGGCAATTGTTCCCAATTGTTTAAGACAAGTTCTGGTAGAATTGGACATAATGAGGTTAATATTTACTTTCATTATGTCAAATTATTTGTACTATTCTTCTTTCCCAAAAATTGCTTCAGTCTATATTTAGAAAATTACATAAGATAACATATTTTGTACGAATATGTTTTAATAGACTTTTATTAGTTAATTTAGGGTAAAATCAAATGAACATTGAATATGCTTTAAAATTTGGGTATGGTTGCTTGGTTTACATAACATTTTGCAGGGTTTTAAAAAAATTTAATTTGATTTTGAGTTAAATAAAAATATAAATTAAATTTGTAGGCTAAGAACTTATCTAACATTAATATAATAGAGCTTTTACTGTAATCTTAAAGAATTAATCTTATTGGGTTTTTTTCTAAAATAACTTATCCCATTATTTTATGTTGTATGAACCATGCTTTATTTTGTAGTTTTTATGGAACGTTTCTCCTTTGAAAGTTCCATGTTTATTTATTTAGTTGCCAAAATGGGTAGTGTTCTCTTATCATGACGCAAAAATCAATGAATCATATTAGGTTGATTCTGCGATAAATAAGCATCAAGTGCTTTGATTGATTATGGAACTTAAAAAAAATTGATCAACCGATTGAAGTGAAAGGAAAATGTATTTCAGTTTAAAACTAAGAGTAACCTTATCTTCATGAACTACACACACAAAGAACATTTTTTTATGTTCTCACTTTGTTGATCAAATTTGGACTTAGATTCTGCTTTTAGAGGGATAAGCTTTGTTGTCCTATTTATCTTGTTCATTTTGTTATTTTTAACTTGGTATCAGTATAACTTTAGCCAAAGAGAAGTAAGATACAAAGGATACATGCATATGGGAGAGCCAATATATTTTGGGGCTGGTATTTTGGGGCTGAAATGTACTTTTAACTAGCTAGGAGGAGCCCAAAAGGTGATAGCGATATAGCATTGTTGTACAGCAGTTGTAACGCGCAGGGTCTTACACCCCCAAGGGGGGTTTAATACGTGAAGGGGAGGGGGGAAAGGAGAGCGGGAGGGGTCGAATATAAATCTCTCTAGACACCAGTGACTGGTGATAGGTACCACTTAAGTGTACTATTGAATGTATCCTCTGTTTCTTACTTCTCTGTGCTCATCAAACAAATAAAAAAAGTGTGATTGGATACCAGGTTTTTCAAAATAAAAAAGTTCATTCATATATTAGATAATTAAAATCGTTAGACTAAAGGGTATAGAATGAAAACTTACTATTTAATGGTAATTAATTCTATTTCACCCTGAAAGTAGGACAATTATTATTGTTGCTGTACAAATAATAAAAAAAGAATAGTGCAACCAAGATGAATAATTAATTGTGTTAGGATAAATTACAAGAACAAATTGTCAATTGAACCTCAGTATTCAATGAAGAAATTTGTACAGCTTTTTTAGCTTTAATGTCTTATTTAACAAAATAATATATTTTATCTTAGATTAAAAGTGATTTAAAACATAGATTTCACAAGATGCATTCCAATTTGTTTACAAGGCTATAAAGAAAGTAGATTATTTTTTGCATAAATGTTTCTACAGCCTCAAAGACTGAATTTTTTAAATTTAATTAGCATCTGCTTTCTGGTTTGCCCCTGTATTGTACTTGGTAGTTAATTTTAATTATATTTTGTCATTCAAAATGAGTTTAATTGTTTGAAGGTTAGTTATACTATGTATTTATGGTTTTCTTACTGATATCAATTACATTTTGTTTCAAGGATTGGTTATTTTACTTTTTACCCTCCAGGATGTTTTATTTACGGTTAAAACCTGTAATCATCGGTTAAACTTGTCAAATGTTCATTCAACTAATCTTTAAATAATATAAATATTCTTAGGCTAAAGTTTAATTTTTTATCAAGGACATTGTTTATAGTTATTGTTTGTATGTTAGTCCAGTTTCAGAAAACTGACCCATAATTTTCCCATTAGCTTTTTAGCATTGGGTGAGAGTAACTATGATATTACATTGGGAAAATCACAAAAATTGCAGTATCTTTTGAAGTATAATTTTTTACAGCGTCACTTCCGGTACGGCCATCTGTGTCTGCCATTTGTCGTCTACAACAATGTGTACCATACAAGTACTGCTCCCCTGTGTACAAAATAAATTTAGGGCTATCATCATTTTGTTAATCATTCCAATTTGAAGTTCAGATAACAGCATTTTTGGTGAACTCTACGTAGTTTAACAAATTAACCCTGTATTTCGTTTTGAAATAACGTCCCTAATACTTTCCAATTGCTCGAATTCCACCAAAAGGTGCACTAGTACTTTATAAATTGTGTATTATATTCTTCAATTAGATTTGTATTGACTCGACCTTTGAAGGGCTGTAGGTCGTAGGATGGTTTGTGTGAAGTTTGGTGCAGATCCGTCAAAAGGGCTCCGCCCCAGTGGCTCTGGAGTTTCCCATGTTAACCTTATGAGTACCCTTATTTAAATGGAATTAAAGAATCTTAAAAGCTGTTTCAACTAAACAATTTGATTTTGTGATGATCAATAGCATTAAAAGGTTACAAAATGAACCAACAGGGTGCAGCACTATTAATTGTCTAAATTTACGACAACAGTTGCTAATTTCAACCAAGCAGCTGTGATACAAAATTAGAACCGTCAAAGTAGGGTTGTTTACAGTTATGTTAATGTTTTTAATTTAATAAATAATTTTTGATAGTGTGTGAATAAGGAGTTTTATTTTTTAATTGCGTAATTCATTAACTTATCGACTTTCTTTTTTCCAAAATGTTTATAAAAACCTATTAAATTTGTATGGTTTATTTTTCCAAAAATTAATGTCTGGGAAACGAAAGTAGCCAGTTAATATTTTAAGTTAATACTTTTTACTAAAAGTTTATCTACATACAGTAGATCTATAGAATGGTGGCTAGTAATATATATAAGAGATACTGCAGTGAAATCAATTTGTTGACTAACCTTGACTGAATATTTGTTCGGTAATGATTTGTTTGCAAAACACTTCAAAGTGTAAAATCAATATGCTTTAGTAAGTCACTCTTTTAAGTGGTTCCTTGTGCTTCTGAAAATTTGAGGATTATCTTCAATAATAAGTATTGGTTTAGCAATGTTTTTTTTTTTACTTGTAAGCTGATGAATCATATTACTGATCTCATCTTTTTAAAATAACTGGATACAGTGATTCAAAATATAGAAGCATCCTCAAAGTAATGTTTGAATTCATTAATCTTATACACTTTTAGTACAAGTTAGGGGTTGTGAAGCGAGCTGGTCTAGTGATAGAGCTCAGGGCTTCGGAGCCCGAGGTCCCATTTTCAAATCCCGCCAATACCCAATGGATTCTATGTGATAATTCCGTGATCTTCTAGGCCTATTCTAAAGTAATGTGTAAAACAGTTCCTCACTAGAATCTAGCGCCCTAGGATTTGAAGATGGCACATAAAAAAAGTAAAGTTATTGATAAAAATGAACGTGATTTGTTGTATATCTCTATCAAATTGATGTTTTTTAATTTGTTTTCTATCTTTTTTTTTTAAAGAGGTTGGCGGCCTCTTTTAACCTTGCATTTACCCGTCCACATAGACTAAGCGCCCGTGCGTGGAACGTTTACAGCAAAGAAAGGAGTGAGCCGGTACAGTACAAAGGTGAACTGTACTGATAAATATTAGTGGCAGTGACCAGGATCCGAACCCACGACATCGCTGCCTTGGGCCCGAAGTCCGCGACGCTGCCGACTGAGCCACCGACTCACATCTAACTTGCTATTTCATCTCCTTTGTCGAGTTAGAAGGTAAAAGCATTGACTTGGATACTCAAGAAGACTTTTCTGAAGCTGGTTTTGATGTGTCTTTCATGTCTGTAATGCGAGAGTGGATTTAAGTCAAATTAATGTTTCTTCGTTACTTTAGGTTATATTTTACAGTGTGCTTATTCTTTGCAGTTCCAGGAGTGTAGCAGAAGTTCATAAATAGATAGGTAGTTGTGTTTGATAGAATAAAAATTAAAGCTATTACATATGACAGTGGCAGTCAGTAAACTATTTCATTGAGGAGAAGAGCATTATGTGAGCTTTTTAACACTGTAATGACCTTGGGGAACGAGCTCCTCTAGTGGTAGAGTAGGGTTAATTAGAAACTAAAGTAGTTTTAATTTTACTGAGGTCTGTTATTCTGTATGTGAGTGTTTTTAGGATGATCAAAAGTATCCTTCATAACTTGTATTGATTGAAAGTGATTTTCCGGTACTTGATCCAATTATTCCCTTCCTCGGCTTTGCCTCGCACATGAAATTTTCTGTTCAACTTTGCCTCACACATGAAACTTGAGCACGCACTGGAAACTTCAACATTTTGTATTTAAGATTAAATTAGTAGATACTATCTACTCTAGTCTCTTTATATATCTACTCTTTTAATTTATGGTACTAGTAATGAAGTATACAATTTAGTCAAAAATAGGAAATAAACAGAAAAAGGATAGATAATGTGATTTATTTTTCATGGATACAAAAAATAACAATACTGTAATAGCACTTACGGAATGATCAACAACATTTCATGCAAGAGTCTAACAACTTAACATTACAAACTGTAAGTAAAAATATTAATTCATTCTTTGATTGAGGCTTACATATCACAATATGTCATTGTCAAAATACATTGTTTAATTGTTCCACAGTACTAAAGGTGGCTTATTTTCACCCTTAGATTACTGTCAATGATTACATATTCATAAATTACTACAGTTTTTTTAGTAATTTCATTCTTTTTTTTAAGTACATGAACGACTTTTATAATTCAATCAATTGTAAGTATAAGAGCTACCGTAAAATGGTAACATCAACATGCATCAAATCAATAAATGCTTATCAAAATAATTAGTGTTTAAGTAAAACCATTGAAAAACTTCATTGCAGCTCTAAAATCATGCAATGGTTTGAATGTTTGTTACCGTATATCAATTAAATGAAATATTGACTAGAAAACTAAATTTGTACCTTTTTTACAGTTTTAGGGGCTTTTTATCCATATTTTAAGTTTCATAGTTCTTGATGCAGAGTACAAGAGAACATTAAACTTTTACCCTAATTATCTCAATGAACTTAATGTTGACACATACTGTTATACTGTTATAAACAGTATGTAAACGCTGAGTATACATTCAATAACCTTAGAAAATGGTTACTTCTAGCTGAAGGTAAGTTGAACACGTAGCAAATTGGCATGAATACACTTGCCCAGTGAAATATGAATACAATATGATAATGTGTCAATGTTGGCTCCACTGCTAATTGTCGTAGGATCCGAGGAAGGCTCCGCAACTTGGACAGTAGTGGTTGGTAGCCTTGCAAGTGTCTGTACAGTAGGGGATGATTGCACACGGGCAGAATCTGCAACAAGTGAAAATAAAAATTACAACTGTTTTAGTGTTCCTTGGCTAAGTCATAATTTTTGTGGAAGAGTGTAATGTTATGCCATAGAGAAGTACGGTACAAAGGAAACATGCTTATGGGACAAACGTGAGCGTGTATGTTGTGCCGGAATTATACTTGTGACGAACAAGGAAGAGCCCAAGAGGCGAGCACTGTGCGGAAATTCCTATCATACAGGACACAGAGTCTTCCTCCGCCATGAGCGTTGTAGTACATGATAGGGTGGGGGTGGTGTTTGGGTTTGCCCTAGACACCAACAACTAGTGCTAGACACCACTAAATTTAAATTAAGTTAAATTTTTCCTATGTACCTTACTTGTTTATGGTTATGCCAAACAGTATTTGCAAATGTGCCAAAGCACAGTAAATAATAGAGTACAAAAATTTCAGTCACAAGAAGTTTTTGATAGACAAAAAACTCTAAAAAAAACTATTAATTTTTAGAAAAATCTTTGTACATTTTCACCCCAAATTATGAGAGTTGTCCTAAACTGAGGTATCCAATGAGCTCAAGTCGCAGCCAAAAGAGATAGATCAAATTTAAAATCAGTGTCATGTTCTTTACTTTCCTGTATATTCTACCAACCCGATTTATTTATTTATTTCATACGGCCTACACAGTTTTTACAAATATCGTCATACAAATCCAAGATGGCCTATATCTACAATAACATTAGTTCCGATTCAAACTCCTATGCGATTATTCGTCTCGTATAGTAATGCATAACAATGAACAGGAAAATCTCAATGTATGAATTTTGTTATTGTAATGTATGTTACTGTATATAGTAATAACAATATAATAATAATACTACTTATAATATACTTCTATAATCATAGTGGCTGTGACCGCTAAGTGCCTTGTGCAGAATCGCTCTCTCCCCTTCTCTCGAAAATGGCTTCCGATGTAAAAACGTGTTGAAATTACTTACTTACTTACTGCTGTGGCCACTGGTACCCTAGATGGTACTTGGCCTCCCCAACACACTGCCTCCATAGGCCTCTGCTTCTTGACTCTTTCGTTGAAATTACAGAAAATAAAGTGAATTCTATTAACTAAATGAAATCCTTATCATTGCTACCTCGTCGTCCAAGATAGTATAGTTATGTTAAAATATATCTTTATGGTCTAAATGTGACAACCAGTATTAAAATCCATTGCCAGTGTGACAGGTTGCTGAATGAAACTACAAAATTCGCAACGAATAAATAATTTATTATAATAAAAATAGTGTAGCCTCGACTTGCTGAATGAACAAATAATTTATAAACACAAAGTACTAGCTGGTGAGAAAGAGAAAATACAATTCCGAATTAAGTTAAGTTATAGATTACAATGCTAAAGATGAAGATTGTCATGATTAATTTTATTTTAGAAAAGGGGGGACATAGCCTCCCTATGGGGAGAGGCAACGCGCAAATTTAGGCGACCGATCAAAACGAATTTAGAATTTAGACTAACTTCAACTGAGTGTTCTCCGTCCGTAGCCAAGTTGGCCGTGGAGGGACACCGGCCAATCAACGTTGCGGTTATGACTTGTGATGTCAGTTCAACACTGGATAGTGCTGCTGCCTAACGATCACTCAGGGCGTTAGACAAACTGTAGTTGCGCAGTTACTGAGTTCAGCGAGGGATTTGCTGAGCCGAGCTCAGCAGATCATTCCAGCCATGTATGTGACACTTCTGGGAACGTTGGCCTGGCCTAGTGGCCTGGCGTTGAGTCATGGTCCCCGTAATATTCCATGGTGAGGCAACTGGGCTGACGCAGAAGTTTGGAGGTTAAAACAGTTCAATATTACAGACTCTCCTTTTGTATTTGAAATACCGGTAAAGCAAAGCTTTTGTGACAGTATTGATAGGGTTTCTTGAGGGTATAGCAAAAACCTCCCCAGCTGATATGTAACGGGTCTGGGAATTTTTGGGGCCGTCACACCAGTAAAAGTATTAATGAATGTAGATAAGTGGATGTAAAAATGTACATAAGTGGCTTAGGGGGTTCTTCTAACCGGGATTTGAACTTAGTACTAATTCATCCCAACAATGTTTTTTAGAAAAAGTTCACAGTATAGTACCTATTTGATTAACTGTGTATTTGGATACTTACACAAGGCACAATATAAGAGCGAAGAGATGTGTTTTTGTAGTGGCTTCTTTCTCCACACGGGACGAGACAGTTGCATGGCACGAAGGGCAAGTCACCGTGCCACTCTGGGGTCCCATAGGCATCACCATGACAGCTAAAACATGTACAATTCACATTCAAAATCATTGTCTTTAACCCTTTGACTGCAGTACAGGGTCTTTTTAATCACTTAATTCCATGTGACTTTGATTTTTGACATTTCTGATGGACTAAGTGGACACAAATACAGTAAAACTGATACAATGCAGGGAAGTGTTCAATATATTATGCGCAAGTCAATACAATCCATCCATACTTTCCACATTTTATTGTTGTTTTTGGTTGTTTGTAGAACCTTATCAAGTTAGATGAAAGCAATCTTTCATGATAGGTGAATAAAGTTAACTACCAACAATGCCCAGAAGTGAATACTAAAGTAGAATTAGATAGTTTCTATACTGCTGAAAAAACAGCTGTTTTCAATACGGTATGCATTAATTGTGGGTCTAAGCAAGGCCCCCACTGGTCTAAGTAGCTCTTTTCTTCCTAGGGAGTAAAATCTTTTTTAAGCTGGGTTTTCCTAGGCGCGGAAGCGGAGAGAGGAACGCCGAGAGAGGAAAAAAGATTAACATGGTGTTCCGCTCCGCTTCTAGGAAAACAGTAACATTAAATTACCTAATACAAGTGAAATCCGCTCTCCACTTCTGCGCCTAGGAAAACCCGGCTTAACTCCCTAGACAATAAAGATCTATTTTACTCCCTAGAGAGTAAATACCCCCGCCGCAGCAAACCTGCAGACTAAGCGAATTTCCATTTGACTGATTGGATTTACACTGAAATGTCTACTTACAAATATAACATTTATTCTTGATTTAAATAGAATTAGTTTAACAAGTACTTAGGTTTGCTGCATCAGGGAGGGTAAAACAGTTTTTTTTTTTGTAAAATGTGAATAGTTAGTAAGAAATAAAAACATTTTCCAAATTTGATCAAGATATGTTCACAAACAAGCAAACTACAACAGTTTACTTATTCTCCATAAGAATAACATGGGAATTTTAAATTTACAATTTATTGGAATTTTCTCCATAACCATTAGGCGCATAATAACGCTTCAATATACTAAATTATTTGTTTTTTTAAGCTCTACAAAATGGTTTGGAAAGAAATTGCTAAATTTTATGTTTTTTGGGTCAAAAATGGGAAAAACCTATTTTTACCCCATAAAACCCCCCGTAAACCCCCGTTCCCATGGTCCGATCATGCTGGATCGCGAACTCGTTCGAATAAACGTACGTTTACACGTTTGTACCAAATTTCATCAAAATCGGATCATTTTTGTTCGAGTTATCGTGCTGACGGACACATATATATATATATATATATATATATATAAATATATATATATATATATATGAATTTGAACGGATGGTGTTTTTGGCCTCTAGGGACCTCAAAACGAAAAAAAAAATCGGTCCCGCGTCCAGGTCTTACCATGAGTACTACGGTAATAGCTTATTCCCTATATGGGAAATTCGCTAAAATCAGCTGGAGTTGAGAACTCCAATAGGTAGTACTTTATAACTTAAATTTTGTAAATAAGTGACTTCCAATTCATACTCTATTTCACCACAACCATTCGTAAGAAGATTGTCCATTCACCAACTTAACATGTTTTGTAAGTAATGCTAACAAAAAAATACTGGTGAAACCAACTAAAGTATACCGTAAAATTATGGAAAACAAGCAAAATATAACTGTGCAAGCAGAATACATACTTGGTTGAGTGGAGTACACAATATTTGTCCCTTGTGGGCTGAAACCATAGGGAGGAGGTGCGTTTTTGTTTGCCATCTTTCTGAACATGCACAATCAATTGGTTAACATTAAACATGCATAAGTACTATTACATCACCAAAACCTGTAGCATGTTAATGCACAAATAATTAAAAATGATACAACAACCCAGAATATCAGGTTTACAACACGTACAAGTGCTTGTTTAATATTTAAATACTGATACAGTATTCTTAACAAACTTTCTAATGATGGCACTTATTATATTCTGATACAACCAATGGTAGTACTGTACAAGAAAACTTGCACTAAATATTGATGGAATGTTTTTTTTTGTTATGATAAATATTTGTTCTTCCTTATAACTTTTAAGCTTTTGTGAAATGGAACCACCTGAAGGTACTGAACTATGTTCTAAGATGCAATAATATTTCATCAACATCAAGGTTTAAATCTAACCAATCACGACTAAAATATGGTGTATGTATATTTAAAATATGGCTGAACTTTACACATTTTAACATTTAATTAACTTAAAATATGTTTACATAGACAACAAACTTATTTTGTTAATTAATTTTCTATAGAAATAAAGTCCCAGGAACCAAAATATACTTTATTATTCAGGGAAATATTCATTATATCTCATGAAGGACTTTTTAAATGGTTTATAATAATTATCCATTTCTTATAAAGAGGCAACACCTCTTAACAAATCCATAGCTATTTTTTTAATAGTATAAAGTATAATTAAGTTCTAAAATGCGTTTCTTTATAATGTGTGATATTTATTAGATTAACTACATTTTAACCCCATAGGGTCATTCACTAGTAGAAAGTAGGTCAGACAAACAATGATGGTTGTTTGGCCTTGGTGAGGCAACAGCCCTGATCACATTTTTACTACTAACTAGCATAGATAAAAAGGAGTGCTGCAGCCGAGGCATCAAAGTGAGGCGGGGACATTAAAACTGACATTAGGGGTTTTAACTAATTTTATGTTGCATTTTTAATGAAGATAATTTGTTTAACTAAATCTGGAAAGGTGAATATATTGTTCCAAGATAAGTGAAGAATCAAAGGATGAGTGATTGAATGTCAGAAGCCTTATACCGGTACTGAACAAATCAGCTGATTCTAGTCGAAATCAGCTGATCCGAATCCGAACTTAGTCAGAATTACTTTAATTTGTAATAGTGTAAACATTTTCATTTTATAACTAAGAAATGATGTCCAGACTAAGAAATTTACATCTCATTTTTTTTAATGCAAAAACGACCATTCAATCATGACACTCAATGTACATTTTATTTATTGTTCATCAGTAATGTGTAATCAAAGGACAAGTTTAAGAAAATACAGGGTTTAAAATAGTTTTGTTAAACTACAGTTCACAAAAAATGCTGTTATCTGCACTTCAAATTGGAATAAATAATTAACAAAATGATGATAGTCCTAAATTTACTTTGTACACAGGGGAGCAGTATTTTGTATAGTACACATTGTTGTAGACGACAAATGGCAGACACAGATGGCCGTGCCGGAAGTGACGTAAGCACAAATGGTCAAATTAAACTGCGAAGGCGTGACAGAAATCAGCAACCATGTGTGGTGGAATAAATACAACAGTTGCATGAAAGAAAGACGCTTGGGTAGCGTCTGGGAGGGACGGGTTCGGTCCCCAGCGTGTCCACGAACATGTATGTGTTCTGTGTTTGTTCTTAGAATGATTATAAAAATTCAACAGTGTTAAAACAAAAATAAAAGGTTTTTTGTTCAAAAACTTTATGAACATGTAGTATATGTACCTTTTTATATTTGACAGTACCAGTAATAACATAAATTAGGTATTGCTGTTTATAAACCTATATACTTTGAAGGCAAATTATAGATTTTATACATACAAGTAGCAATATATGAACATGTATACAGCGTTCAGGAGCACTTCCATATTGCTAAGGTTAAAAAAATAAAGTACTGTGATAGTTATGCTAAATTATGAGGTATAATTTTATTCGGTTTCCAGAACTGGATCACATATCTCTGGTACTACGAACACAACTTGTAATTGTAACTAACTTGTAATCTCTTCGCCACTTTCCAACGAAATTGCTAAATTTATTGAGAACTCGATGACTCACTAAAATGGTTTGCTTCTTGATGTAGCATTGAATACTTAATGTTTATTTAAATAACGCGAAAAAGGCACATTGGTGTCAAACGACGAATCTAAGCCTTGAGTTTTATTTCTCTATGGTCCGCAGACAGCACAATTTTTATTTCAGCTTCCCAGCCAATATCCAGTGCCGCCTAGATAATTTTGGCTTAGGCCAGTGACGTAATCACTTGGAACGTGTCACGAGATCAAGGTCTTAGTGGTAGTTTGAGTTTGGAAGGTTTCGTCATCATCTGCTATGTATTCTCTGCAACTCTCGTGCTTTTTACAAGCATTCATTAAGTTTAAAACTAAAACCCTACTTAATAGTAGTTTTACTCAACATTGAATCAAACATTTTAATTATGATGTTTATTTAGTATTGAGTTTATTTTGAATCAACCTTGAAAAATCAAGACAATTTTCAGTTTAGATTTATCGTTTTTTTTATTTTGACATTTTAACAATGACTGTTTCAAGGAGTTGTAGTTGCAATTGCAATATTACTGTTTCCTAAGTAACTCTCCCAAGTCTTCAGAATATTTTTTTAGCTTTCTGAAGTAAAAGAAAAACAGCTTCTTACGGTAGACTAAGTGCTATATGTATTTATTGTTCTTGATAGCGATAGCTAATTATCAACTATCTACAGTTTACTATAATTATGACATATAGACATACGATAGTAATCTGAAAGAGTAAATAACTGCTCATCAAAAACTAAAAAGTCTTTGCTCATTATATTTCATTTATATTCAACAATCAATTTGTGTTTAACTATTCGCCCAGGGATTTGAATCAACGATATTACAAAAATATTCACTGACAATCTTGTTTGTAAACCATTATTGTTAATGACGTTTCGTCAGCAGCAAACAATACTAAATGTCGTTCGTCTCAAATAATACAAACCCTTTTTAGCGAATTTCCCTACTACATTACCGTAGGTGGCACGGTAAGACCTAGGCCCGGGACCGATTTATTTTTTTAATTTTGATTTCCCTAGAGGCCATAAAAACACCATTAGTTAAAATTTGTATACATGTATGTATATATTACACTAATCTATTATATTTTACTAAAACGTGTTTTTTACCCTCCCTATAGCAGCAAACCTAGGTACACTCATTAAACCTAATGTTATTTTTTTATTTAAGTGAAAATCAAATCAGGCAATTGGAAATGCGCTTAGTCTGCAGGTTTGCTGCAGCGGGGGTATTTTATTCATTGTTCGTCTTTTCGAGTCGGGGCCGTCATTTGAGTTTTGTCGTACGTTACCCGTACATTGGTGGCAAGACGGGTTTATTTAGGTTATGTTTACAAACTACGTCAACGCCACGTGCTTGCATAGAAACACTCGCCAGTCGCGACTATAAAAATAACTCTTTTACAACACACAAACACACACACGCACTTCGATATCAGAAAACTTAACATTGTGATAGAAACACTGAAAGATGTCAACAATAAACAAAACAATCAAATTGATAATGTGTTGTTAGATAATTGTTTTAATTTTAAATCCATACTAAAACGATTAAACACGCCTATAAAATTTTATTAGTGGTTTTGAGGGTTTGTCTAATCTTTATCTCCAGAAGAGAGCACACTTTGTACACTTACCAAAAGGGAGACTACAATCAATTTGGGGAAAGGATCGAAAAAGTAATCAAATAAGTCGATTCGGTCAATTTGATACATTATATTTGTTCACCTTCACCTATGCGTTACTCCATTCAAAGTGCAGTGCCTGTCATTTTATTCGTTTGCCCTGTAAATGTTTGGTATCAATAGACGCCAGAAGTACAGTCGGTTTGATCCTAAAAATTTCAGTACAGTTCACCACACTACGATGTTTTTAGCCGTTTTACAAACGTTTATTGGAGGCCGAAAGCTACGTATTGCTGTCTATGCCAGCTGTCATCGCCATTTGGGGACCGAGCAGGGTTTTACATCCCTAAGGCCGAAAATCAGCTGCCCGCTTACTTTCTTATAACATTAATGCACACAATCAGTATCCATTGCATTGCAATAGACTTGTTTTATTGTCACCGCTGCCTAGCAACTTATTACTACTTGTGCTGGTTCCTCAAATTATTTTTTTCACATAACCTTATTATTGTGGTCAAATAGTGGTATAGTGTGGTGAAAAATAGCGTTCGTACCACGGACCGATATGGTTTAACAGCTCTTGATAGATTTTTATCTGTTCGCCTTTAAACACTAAAATACCTTCTAATTCTAGGCTAAAGAGCACATAATAGAAAACTTTTTTAAAATATGCATATTTCTATTCTGTGATCTCCGACTTAAGACTGCTCGTTCTTAAATGCTTGAATGCACCAAGCGCATTTATTCGTGGAACCCCCCCCCCTTTCATACTCTTATCAGTACTGACAAAGATAGGTGAGCATTGAGCAAACATAGAAAATATTTGCTATGAGGTCCCTTAGGTTGAACATTCAATTACAATTTATACTAGCTTCAAATACAGATATTGAAACGAGCAATGGTCAACGTCAGCCTTAACGAAGGTCACAGGTTCGATTCCAAGGGAAGGTGATTTTTCGGATCTTAAAGTAATTGCAATAATGCAATGCCAAGAGAATGTTATAAAATGTGAATTATCATTGAAATAAAAATCGTTAAATAGTAACAAGACCATGATTTTGACCGTTAAAAACTCAAACAGTAGACTAACAAAGGCGGTTAAGCCTTGAAAAAAAGGAGAAACTAATACAATGAATAGTCTATGTGTATTGTATTGTGGCACTCTTGGATATTAAACGTTTGAACGAGTGAAATAAACGCGAGTAATCCGCGACCTCTGGCACAATTGCGGAGAAACACGAAAACGCCAATACACGACACGCGACATCTCAAGTATAACGACGCTAAAACACGACTGCACGAGTGTAACTGGTGGACAATGTTACCTATATACCGTGTGTTTTGGGTATAAACCAAGTCAAATTTATTTATTTTATACTAAGCTATTAATATTTTACTTAAAACCACACTTAATTAGTTTCCTTGTAGCAGCAAACTCGTTAGGCATAATGTTATTTAAATAGATTTAATTGAAAATCAATTCAGACAAATGGAAATTCACTTAGTCGGAAGGTTTGTAGTGGCGGGGGTATTTTAATTAACTACCTTCTGTGCAAAATGTGTTGATCATAATATCTTTTTAAATAGAATTTATTAATTATTATTTATTATTATTATTTATTATTATTTATTGGCTTATTAAAAATCCTTTTTATAGCTTAAGTGAATATATCAACTGCAATTTTGATGTTAAATTTTAATTAAAATAAATTATTATGCTTACGGTACTTGTATTTTATGTAATGTGTCCTATTCCTTTGTAAAAAGGCCAATGGAATATATTATTCTTATTTAAAAACTACAGTATTAAAACAACCAAATTAGATTTTTCATTTTGGTTACTCTTAACACGAATTACTTGTTTACATACAACGGATACAACGATGTTGAAACATTACTCAACTAAACATTTTCAATCGAATTAAGTTAAGTAATTCAAGTTCATGAGTGTTAGTAATAAGTGTTAGTATTAAGTAACTAGTAACATGAGTGTTAGTTAATAATAAGTTAGTGAGTGTTAGTAGTCATGAGTTTATTATTTAAAATATATATTCTAAATGAAGCAGTCATTTGTTATAATTTCTTTTATTACGCTCAAGCTAAAAATAAACCGACTGTAGTCATCCGAGAGTCGTGGTTGAGCGAGTACAGTAATAACGTTTGAGTTATTGTACGATAAAAACACTTATCAGAATCAGCTGATCGATTGTTGTCCAATCAGCTGTTGCTTGGAAACCTGTCAACGCCGAAACTCCGCTTTTAGACACGGCTTAAACATATTTTGTAATTTATTGTTTTAAAGTTGAGTATGAACAAGACTTGGATATTCCATTTTCTTGTTGGTGTTGTATGCAGGTTTAGAATTAAAATGTAGTTGGATTAAGCCGGCAGAGCACGCTGGTGTACATTACTCCAAAAAGGCTATAGTATTTTTTATGTCAACTATATTATAACAAAACACTAATTATGAGTGAACAGATTTTTGAAACTGGATTGTGTAAATAGGATTATTTATTTGTTTATACCCTGTCAATGATTTTCACAAATGATGATACAGCATAGCCTAAAGACAATTTTATTATGCATGTGGATCTGGGTACTTTCGTATTATAGAGACCACACCTAAATTGGTAAAATAAAACCCTTAGGTTATGTTAGGAATATTTAGTTATTTAAAGTTTATTTAAAGTCGACTTAAATCTTATTTGGAAGTCGATTTATCTGTATGGTTGCTATAATACGAAAGTACCTGTATCTGTGATCAGTTAATATCATAAAATTGTAAAACACTACATTATAAACGTAGTCGTTACCATCATTCTTGTGTGGATTGAACTTGTATGGTGATGACATGAGTTTTGTGCAGACAATTGGTGCTGTACAGCGAAATCGTCCGCAGTTGCATGTAAATTGTTTACCAAGTATTTTAATTCTTAGTATTCTACTTGACCGCTTGACGACGACGAAGCTGACTCAGTCATGGTTGTCAACCTACACCGCAGAAATGTAGACGCGTCGACATTCACCGGTGTTATCCAGAAATGGACAGATATAGATTATTATTATCAGACCTGAACGTTACATTACCTTTTGTAAATCTAAAATCATTGACTGTATGTGCTGCAAGTAACTTAGACCGAATCCCACTGAAACCTAAACCCTGTTCCCATGAGGTGGCTGTGTTTTATCTCCTGTCACCACACATAGGTGCATTGATTACTCATTGACTGTATGTGCTGCAAGTAACTTAGACCGAATCCTACTGAAACCTAAACCCTGTTCCCATGAGGTGGCTGTGTTTTATACCTCCTGTAACCACACATAGGTGCATTGATTACACAGTTGGTTGCGTTATCTTGTGTTGACTATTATTATGTGTCTTTAGTGTTCTATTTTTAGGTAGAACTTGCATGGTATCTTTTGCTCTTTCGTTCCATTACCACTACCAGTGGGCGAGCAGTCGTTAGCAAATACTGTATTCAGTGTTATAGTAGGTCAATTTTAAAGTTAGAAAACTACCTATGAAAAGAAGTTTGCTAAAACTAAAAGATAGGCAAATACCTTTATCAAACAAAACTAATTTTAGCTACTTATGTCGGACTTGATAGCGGGCAATAAGGAAATTAAATTCGGAACAACACAAGAACCCTTTAGAATATAGACCGGATTGAGTTAGTGGGTTTTTGTCAAACCGAACTGTGAAAAAGATATCAAACATTGTTGCGGCGCATGATGCTTTCGATGTTGGGGGAAATAGGCCAGAGTAACTCAAACAATTAAATTTTAACAAAAAAAAAAATTAATCCAAACTGAAAATGGATCCGATAAAGTGGACTGTATGAATAAAAATGATTAAATTCATGGTGGAAGGAAAAACAATTAAATTGCTACTACCAATGAACGATTTATTGATTTTCACTCATTTCTCTAAGCTCGAAACAAAACACTATTGAACGTGGGGGGAGCTGATTCTCGTGTCCTATAGTGAATTATGCGACTCAACAGTATACTGCCAATGACACCATTGACAACCCCAAGTCAAGGGTTGAGAGGAGAATTCCTGGGACGGTTCGGGAGGGCTGTTTTTATTGTTGTATTGTTCCTTCGCACAAGGTTGTTTAAAAAGGTTTTGCCCTTGGTCCTTTTATAACTGTTGAAAGAATGTGAAACTCTCTGTTACAAGACAACGCTAAAACTAGACCAAATGCTATTTGAACATGGTACAGTAATAACTTTTCAACAAGATTAATTTTTAGAGATCACGTATACAAAATATGTAGGCCTACAATCATTACTCCGAATAATTTATTTAATCCAATCGTTCAATCTCGGCTCTTGAGTATTTTATTACAAATCCGTGTACAAAACAATTTAAAAACAATCAAATATTAACTCCCAGTTGATAAGTTAAGAGATAATGATTCACATTGAAGTAGACTGTACAGGTGCGCCTAATGGCGTTAGCTGATTAGTCATAACGCCATAAACAGATTAAGAATGCAGTTACCGCCGCCTATGACGTCATTCAGCCGTGACGTTAGTTTGACTGATAATGATAACATCACACCCTGTCTAATCACGTACAACTAATTGAATGACAGGTGAAAACATTCTTTGTAAACGTGTTGCACAATACATAAACGTTTTGTTATTTGCATTTTCTGGTGTAACCCTCGTCATATAGAATGTTTAGGTTAGGTTAATGTAACAGGTCGGTGTTGGTGTAGTATTGGTTAGATCTGGGAGTTATCGCAATTACAACTTGAAATCTCAAACCGCACAAAAATGTGTGTTTCAACTTGTATTTGACAAGACAGTCAGTGGTCATTGACGACCGACCGGAAGGGACTGACAATTAACGCTCCGAAACCGTAGAGATAAGAAGATATCATGGACACATTGATGTATTGCCGCTTTTCAGAAGATAGTTTTAGAACAAATGAGCTAAACGTTGACAAGTGGTCCTAGCTGGAAGAACTGTGTTGTTAAAGACAAGGATAAGTAAAATGTGACACCGTTGTACAATTTACTTTCAACATTAAGTTTGGAAACAAAACATGAAAGAAATACTCAATCATAACATTAAACACTACAAACCATTATCTTAAAATACCTACATCTTAGGATTCGCCAAACTAAATACTTTTTGGTGTACTATCTTAATAGAATTCGTTTTTACTATCTTACAACTAGAAGTGAAATTGGGATTTTTACATTGCAATCCCAACACAAAAATAACAGTCAGATCGGTGAGATTTAACTATATTTTTTGTCGATCAACATGTTGCTCTTTCAACACAATCCATGCATGTAATTTTAGGACTATATTAGGCATAATATTATTAAGTTTAGTAACATGAGTTAGCGCAAAACAAGCCAATTGGGTACTTGAAGTCCCTTAAAACGTTTTTAAAGGTTTTATAGCTAAAATGTTATGATAAAGCCTGTCTCATTACCTGTTATCGACAATGTCTGGATCCGTTCACTACGACCTACTACACTACCACTGACGGACTGTGGGCACTAGGCACTAGCACAGTTTTCTGTGACACTAGGCAGCACTGTGCTCTCGCTCTGTAGTAGGACTTGTTTAGGTACACTAGGTACAGTTGGTTCGCTGTTTGGTTGGGCGTTGGGCGGAAGGTGGGGCACATCCCCTCCATAGTGTTTGGGTCTTTTTACGTGATTTGAAACTAAACCAAAGATTTCCTCATATCTACATCAACTATACCAGGAAATAACCTGTTTTGTTTAACAGTTTAGGTAGTCACTGAGTTGCTTTAGAATTTAGATTAGTATTTTGGATTTGGTTTAAAACTGCGCACAGAAAACACGACTATCTCAGCAACCCTGCTAAGGCGCCCCTTAGCATGTAATGTAAGAAGGGAATTTTTTTGCTAACTGAAATAATTTTTAAAATGTTTTCCTATATTAAGGTCCCCCGTGCGAGGCCAGACACCTTTTTGGGTTATAAGTTTTTATAAACAACTTGGGAGTAGATCTTTCACGACCTTCATGAAAAATCCACCTTCAAATTTCTGAGGTCCTTACAATGTTCCTGTGGCTTTCTTGTTGGAACAACTTAAGCCGAATGCTTCTCCAAGATCTGAACAAATCCTAAAAAAATTCAACTTTGTAAAAATTTATTTCAAAGGGTGTCTTAGGATTGATCCAATGATGTTATCCTAAGTATTTTTTGTTAAAAATTCTGTGAAATCATTCTAGTTTTTATTTGTTTGATCACCAAGTCATGCAGATACAATGGGCACATTGGGCGATTTCTTAAGGGACAATACAACAGTAATTGAAAATCATTCAAAAATTTAAATATTTATTTGTTGCAATTTTGAACGTGATATTTAGGTAATTATTTGTTTCCTAACAGCTCCAAGATGTATGGAGTAACACTTTTAACTCCATACATCTTGTAATATCTACGCCAGTCCAGCACTTAAACTACCATTATAAAAAAAAATCTGCTTGTTTGCAGTAACACGCCTTAATAACGTTATTTGCAATTAATAAGCAATAGCAGCATCTAAAATAAAGTAATTTTCCAAAAATACATTGAATATAAAATGAAACTAGCATTTTCTGGTAAGTGAACATTTAAATTTTAATACTGATTTTAAAAGCAATCTAGTAGGAAAGCAATCTTTCCAATACATCAATTGACAACTGGAAATTGAGAAAAAGTAGAAAAGTATAGAAAAAAGGTAGAAAAGTGAGAGCACATAATCAAGAAATAATGGAAACTCCTTGAATGATAATTAGCTAAATATGAGTACGTACCCTGGTACCCACTATTTAAACAATATTTTACGTCAATTCGTCTACGATATTGCAACATAAATAATTATTAGTAGAAATAAAAAGCTTACGAATTTAATAAATGACCAAGTTAGGCGATTGAAATTGAAGCACAATTCCATTCCATAACGAATTCGGTCGAAACTGGACCTTCACAGCACTCAGCAGTGAATCTACTTACTTTCGGGCTTCTAGTCCAACATGGAAATATAAATTAAGTCCACTTATTTATCCTGCAAGTTTTGTGTAGATTATCTATCTAATTATACCACAAATCTGTTCCATTGCAAACTCTTTTCTGAAGACTCCAGAAACTATGTTCCAGCTATACACGCAGTACTCTTTAGTTTAGAAGTTGCGTTTTATAATCAGAAGGCTCGTACAGTCGGTACTGATCAAACTACAGTATTTGATTTGCGGTTTTGATTTAAAATAGAGATTAATTGCAATTACAATAGACCTCCACTACCAAAATCCCGGTGTAGATGTTTATTTCTAGTGCTCTTTTAATCAAACAAATTGTGAATATCTTTTAAATTTTGAAAGTAACTAAGTTCTGTATAGTAATTGAGCGGAGCGAGCGAAGCGAGCGAAGCTCTTATACGTCGACTTTTATGCATTTCGTAATACGCAAACTCCTCCTAGACGGCTGAATCAATCGTTTTCAAATTTTGGATGGTGATAAAGACCATATCGGTGAGTGCCAACATCTATATGGCGTTAAAAATAACTCTCAGGAATCCGCCCCACTGGGTCTCAAAGTTTCAATGTAATCCTTATGGAAGCAGTATTTGACACATAAACAAAGACATATAATCAGCTGTTGACTTTTGAATGCAGTAGATAAATAAATAGCTGATAGCATTATTCCCACAGATATTAGAACATAAACGGTGGTATTAATCATAAAACTAGGTGGCGTTTGCAGAGGCATCCACAAAATTGAGCGGAGCCATCAGGAGTTTATATTATATTGTTTTGGTCATACTACAGTAATACCAGTTGTTTTTAAAGCATGCGTTGCGGGTCTAAAGTAGCATTTTTACTCTTTAGGAAGTAAAAATAGATTGTATCCTCTATGGAGTAAAACTCAGCTGTTGTCAACTCAGTTGTATCTATATATATAAAATCCAATGTATGTTTGTATATTTGTATGTTTGTATATTTGTATGTTTGTCCTTTATGGACTCCGAAACCGCTCGACAGATTGTAATGAAACCTTCAGGCATTATTAAGCATTATTCAAGGATGGTTTGTGTGAAGTTTGGTGCAGATCCGTCAAAAGGGCTCCGCCCCAGTGGCTCTGGAGTTTCCCATGTTAACCTTATGAGTACTCATATTTAAATGGAATTAAAGAATCTTAACAGCTGGTTCAACTAAACTATCTGATTCTGTGATGTTCAATAGCATTAAAAAGTTAATAGGTTTACCAACAGGGTGCAGCACTATATTTTTTAATTTATGATAACAGCTAACTTGCAACCAAAAGGTGAGTGAGCGTAGCGAACGAACTTCAACCTGGAGGCGAGTTAGCGTAGCGAACGAGCTAACCTGAAGGCAAGTGAGCGCAGCGAACGAGCTCCAACCTAAAGGTGAGTGAGCGTAGCGAACGAACTTCAACAGCTAATTAGCAACCAAATGGTGAGTGAGCGTAGCGAACGAACTTTAACCAGGACATGATTGAACCATGCGAACGAACTCATCTTGAAAATGAACGAGCATTTTACATAAATCCACACTAGGACAGGACGACGTCTGTCGGGCCAGCTAGTATTTCTATATTGTAAACGATTGCATGAATCGAAATATGTATCGATTCGTGCTTTGTAGTTATTTTAACCTACAGTCTACAGTCTCTTCCCATAGCCTTTTCGCATTGCAGATACATTAATCCATTCCCACACTCAACACGCTCACCTTTACTACTTCCTTCACCACCCTCAACGTCGTGGACCTGTTTCCCTCTCTTCCCATAGCATTTTAGGATTGCAGATACATGAATGTAATTGCCAAAGATAGTTTCCACACTCTGCACTGCAAGCCTTACTACTTCCTTCACCATTTCCTAAGTCAGATACTTGTTTCCTTCCCTTCTCATAGCATTTTTGGATTAAATATACATCAATCTAACTACCACAGACAGTTTTCACACTATGCTCATACTTTACTACTTTCTAAGCCATTTCCTACATCGTGGACCTGTTTTCACCACTTTCCATAGCAATTTAGTATTTTAGATACGTTAATCTAATTGCCACAAACATTCCCCACACTCCGCACTGCTAGCCTTTACTACTTCTTTCACCATTTTCTATGTCGTGGGGATGCTTCCATCCCTTCTCATAGCATTTCAGCATTGCAGATACATTAATCTAACTGCTACAAACGGTTTCCAGTTCCCACACTCCACACTGCTCACCTTACTACTTCCTTCACCTCTTCTTACGTCGCGGACCTGTTTCCCTCTCTTCCCATAGAATTTTAGGATTGTAGATACCTTAATCTGATCGTTATAAACAGATCCCACACTCCGGACAGCTCACCTTGACGACTGCCTTCACCACTTCATACGTCTCGGACCTTTTCTCTCCCTTCCCATAGCATTTTAGGATTGCAGATCCCTTAATCTAATCGTCATAAACAGTTCCCACACTCCGGACTGCTCGCATTTACTACTTCCTTCACCACTTCCCACGTCACAGACCTGTTTACCTCCCTTCCCATAGCATTTTAGGATTGCAGATACCTTAATCTAATCGTCATAACCAGTTCCCACACTCCGGACTGCTCGCCTTTACTACTTCCTTCACCACTTCTGACGTCGCGGACCTGTTTCCCTCCCTTCCCATAGCATCATAGGATTGTAAATACCTTAATCTAATGGTCATAAACAGTTCCAACACTCCGGACAGCTTGCCTTGACTACTTACTTCACCACTTCCTACATCGTGGACCTGTTTTCCTCCCTTCCCATGGCATTTTATGATTGCAGATACCTCAATCTAATCGTCATAACCAGTTCCCACACTCCGGACAGCTCGCCTTGACTACTTCCTTCATCACTTCCTACGTCGCGGACCCGTTTTCCTCCCTTCCAATAGCATTTTATGATTGCAGATACCTTAATCTAATCGTCATAACCAGTTTTCACACTCCGGGCTGCTCGCCTTTACTACTTCCTTCACCACTTCTGACGTCGCGGACCTGTTTCCCTCCCTACCAATAGCACCATAGGATTGTAAATACCTTAATCTAATGGTCATAAACAGTTCCCACTCTCCAGACTACTCGTATTTACTACTTCCTTCACCACTTCCTACGTCACGGACCTGTTTACCTCCCTTCCCTTATAATTTTTAGAATGCAGATACCTAAATCTAATCGTGATAAACGGTTCACACACTCCGGACTGCTCGCCTTTACTACTTCCTCCACCACTTCCTACGTAGCAGACCTGTTTCCCTCCCTTCCCATAGCATCATAGGATTGCAATGCCTTAATCTAATGGTCATAAACAGTTCCCACACTCCGGACTGCTCAAATTTACTACTTCCTTCACCACTTCCTACGTCACAGACCTGTTTACCTTCCTTCCCATAGCATTTTATGATTGCAAATGCCTTAATCTAATGGTCATAAACAGTTCCCACACTCCGGACAGCTCGTATTTACTACTTCCTTTACCACTTCCTACGTAGCGAACCTGTTTCCCTCCCTTCCCATAGCATCATAGGATTGCAAATGCCTTAATCTAATGGTCATAAACAG